CGATGTTTTACATCTAAATTTATATTCTATAATTTAAATTGTATATATTTATTACAGTATTTTTAATGAAATAATATAAAAATAATTTTATTAAAATTAATTTAATAAATTTATAAAATAAATAGATTTATGTAAACCTTCTTTTTCATTCAAAAGAGAAGCAATGGTCTTTTTAAGGCTAGCATTTTTTGCACTCATTTTTCTAGATTCCTCATAGAGTTCATCAAATGCATCTTGTAACTCTTCTAAAGAATTAAACTCATCATTAGGAATGGATTGAAAGCTTACCTCTTGAGTGTCTTCTTCTCTAGCCATGAAACATAAGTTTGCCACTTCAGAGTCACTTGATTCCTTGTCTGAGCTATCATCACTCCAAGTTGTCACCAAGGCTTTCTTACTCCTTTTTTCTTTTGCTTTGAGACTTTTCTCATTGCCAAAAGGACATTCAAACTTCACATGTCCAGGCTTCTTACAGCGATAGCATATGATTTTGTCCTTCTTGTTTGAATCCCCCTTGTATTTATCACTTCCGTTGTTCCTTTTTAGTCCTCCTTGCTTCTTGAAATTTTCTTTCTTCAGAAACTTTCTAAATTTCTTGGTAAGCATCGCAATATCCTCATCTGAGTCACCTTCCTACTCACCTTCACTATGTTGAGTAGCTTTGAGTGCAATGGTCTTTTTCTTTTTATTGTCCTCTTCACTATCATAGTCCTTCATAGCCATCTCATGAGTGAGAAGTTTCCCTTGAAGCACTTCAGTAGTCATATGACTCAAGTTGTGAGCTTCTTCAATGGTCATGCGAATGTTGCTCCAACCCTTGGGGAGTGACCTTAGGATCTTTCTCACCTTTTCGTCTTTTGAGTATACATTATCAAAATAAACAAGCTCATTAGTGATTTTGGTAAATCGAGTAAACATAGATTTAATATCTTCATTTGGGTTCATTTTAAATAGTTCATATTTTTGGACAAGCCTATTCATTTTGCTCTTTCGCACTTCATTAGTGCCTTCATGAGCAACTTCCAGCTTGTCCCAAATTTCCTTGGCACTCACACATGCACTAATGCAATCAAACTCAAATGGGTCTAAAGCACAATATAAAGCAGTTATAGCCTTGGCATTTAACTGAATTTTTTCTTTATCATTTTTGTCAAACTCTTTAGGTCTCTTCAGAATCATCTCTTTCGACTGTTCACTCTTTCTCTTCATTGGAACATATGGGCCATCCCAAACTACCTCCCACATTAGGTAATCGGACCCTTGCATATAGACCCTCATCCTATTCTTCCAATAGGCATAGTTTGTTCCATTGAAGAGAGGAGGACGAGTGGTTGATTGTCCTTCAGAGAACATGAAGTTTTGAGCTGCCATGATAGAAACTCAATAAAATGATTTAGGAATTTAAAATCAAAACTTTGAGCTGAGGCTCTGATACCAATTGTTGGCCTAGATGGAAACCCAAAAGGGGGGTGAATTGGGTTTCAGAAACCTTATGCAATTTTTGAATAAAATAATGATCAAGCACAAGCAATCAATAAGCTATTGTAAACTAAATTGCAAGAATTAAAAGAGTAGGGTAAAAAATATCAAACACTTTAATTTATCTTGGTTCGTCACCCTCTTTGGTGCCTACGTCCAATCCTCTAGTTTCTTACACTCAAGATTTAATCCACTAACACTAGCTTCAACGGGTGCTAGTGAAACCGATTACAATAGCTTGCTAGTGCTATCAACCATTTGAATCCCTTGTTACAAATCTATCAACCTGTCCTATACCTCAAGGATAGATTCCTAGATCTAACAAGGTTTCCCCAATCCCTCTCTCACTTGTTACAATGAAAGAGAACAAGAAACGTAAGAGAATTCTCAAAAACCCAAGGTAAAAGCTTAATGCTCTTGTTTTTTTTTTTAAGCTTAATCCCTCTCTCACTTGTGGTATTAAGAATGTCTATTGAAAGAAATTTATGACCTGGATCTGCTGTTTTTAATACAGCAGCATGGAAAACGAAATCATGGAGAGACCATTCGTCATGCAAAACGTTCCCTCGGAACATGAAGTAGATTTGAGTCATTCGACATCATCGAAGGATTCCATCCGCAGAATTTCAGGCTTGTTTAAAATGCATAATGAACAGGCTTATAAGCCCTATAAATTTTCAATTGGTCCTTGGCATTTTGGTAAAACAAAGGAGTTGCGCACTGGACAGAAATTGAAGGAATCCTTTGTTGAAAGACTTTTTGGTCGTTTCACAGATCCATTAAGAAAGAGGAGAGAGTTGGAAGAAGAAATAAAAAATGTGCATGACAAGGCTAAAGAATGTTACGAGGAAGGGGAAGCTTATGATGAGGGAAAAAATAATATGGATGTGGTCAAAAAAAGAATTTGAGGAGATTCTGTTACTTGATGGTCTCTTTATTATTGAGGTGTTGCGGACACACTACAAGAAAAATAATTTTTAGTGATAGAAATTTGTGATGAATTTTAAAATTATCACTATAACTTATCATAATTGTGATAAATCTAAAAAATTAGTAACAAATACATATATATTTAATAATGAACAAAAAAATTCATCATAAAAAATATATTTTGTCACTAAAAAATGGTCATAGAGATAAAATAAGTTTTTGTCAATAAAAAATCATCACTATAATGCATTACAATAATGACAAAATTCTAATATTGGTCACATATACCTTACACATTCAATGATGACCAAATGATTTATCACTAAAAAATATATTTCGTCACTAAAAATTGTCAATTTTCTCTAATCAATGCATCCCACATCGATAAAAAACACATAAGAGAATAAGGTTTTACACTATAAATATATCCCACATCGATAAAAAAATATTTAAGAAAATAAATAGCGAAGTGCATGAGTGTCATTTCTAGTTATGCTGATTCCATTGCAGCAATTAGGAGAAAATAAGAATTACACGTCCAATGTGGAAAATAAGTGTTGCAGGTCCTTGCTGATGTGGGTTTACACATGTCATTGATTTTACAGCCATATCAATTCATCCCTCAACAATTTCCTACATGTGTCTGTACTTGTTTACTAACTAAAATTGGGGGTGTTGACACCACTGTATCCACCCTTAAACTTGTCACACGGCACCCATGTTCTGCGCCGCATAGCACCACCCCCCAATTATTTTTATTCATATTATTTTAATAGACTAATAGGTGTCAACACCTGACCTGTTACCAGGATTAGAGTATCGACACTACTTCCAGAACAGTCGAGTGATGGCGTTGTTGCGATACGTCATCACGCGCAACAGCACCCAGCACACACACTCAATCACGTGGGTGCTGCGATACTGTGGTTCCTTCATCCTCTTTAATTGCTACTAATTTATATATATATATATATATATTTGTATTTACACTATCTATTACTAATTCTAATCCTTGAAACAAGACATGAAAATTCATCTGATCTAAGATTTTAATGTTAGATTTAGGACGAAACCTTAATAACAAGTGTAAAAGAAAATCTAGAGATTGCAATATTAGATTTAGCAATAAAGATCCAAGAAAACGAGAAAGAACAAGAAATCAAGAGGAACAAATATACTCAACATTAGAATCTTAAAGTTGAACTCTAGGAGAAGAAGATGGCTAGATCTGAGAGGAGGTGTTTACTGCATAAAAGCAAATTTATATTGAGAAGGGAATATGGTTAAGAAGTAGACTTCACGTCTGTTTGAATTTTTTTGGGAAAATAATAATTCCTAAATTAAAAGACATAAATCCCAAATTAAATACCTGTATCAAATCCTTAATTGAATAAAAATTTAAAGTCATAAATCCTCATAAATGGTTATTAATCTCAACCATTAATTAGGTTATACATATTTAATTATATTGATTCCTAGAAATCAAGAAAAAAAATGCGGGTTATTACATTTTATACCTAGGGTTGGGTGTCAGGCGGTTTCAGTTGTAACCGCAACTGACTTAACGGTTAACGCATAATCGGTTTTTAAAATATAACAACCATTAACCGCATTAAATTATTACGGTTTTTTAATATTCAATTATTTTTATTTTATAATTCTTGGAATCGGTTATGGTTTTACCCAACTTAATACTTAGCATTTTTAGCCTTGTTTCCAAATTTCAATAGCAAAATTCCTTACTGAAATCAATAATAATCTCATGTAACAAACTTAAATTTGATGCTTAAAACAAATCCAAGCTAAAAACTTACACGTGAATTTACTGATTGATGCTCTTCACTATTAATCTCCATGTGAAGTTAATCACACTGCATTTTAGATAAAAAAAAAAATGAAGTTAACACAAGTAAATATTATCATCAAAACAAATAGATTCATTTTAGGGTTAATGTTTTCTAACGATCATTGAGGATTTAGTTAAAAAATAAGGGATTGAAATTTAAAATAAAAAATTTCTAAAAATCTTTCAGATCTAATTAAAAGAGAAGGGATTTATGCCTTTGGTTTTGGGCAATTTGTTAATTGAAAGGAGTGGGTGACAGAATTTATGAAAAGAAAGGGACAACAGGGATCAAGTTGACAATTTCGATGGCAACCACAAAATGGGTCACCACCGGCCACCACCTTTGTTGATAGATACAAGAAAAAAGGAGAGCAGGAAGTTCCTTCGAAGTTGAGAGAACAGAGAAAAAAGAAAGATGAAAATGGCTGCTTTGTTGGAGTTTAGGTTAATTTTCATTTTTATACTTAGGTGTTTTTCTAGTTGCTAAATTACTAGTTTGCCCAAAAAAAATCTAATAAAAAGTGACTAATGCATTCTGGGCACAATTTGGGCGGCAAGATTGGGTGGGATAACAAGAATTGTCAAGAAACAAGGTGGGATCATGGGGAAATGGAAAAAGAAATTATAAAAAAGTAAAAAAAAAAAAAAATTCTAATAAGAAGTGACTAATGCATTTTGACTTCTAAGCACAATTTGGGCGGCAAGATTGGGTGGGATTGCAAGAAACAAGGCGGGATTGCAAGAAACAAGGTGGGATTGTGGGGAAATGGGAAAAAAAAAAAAAGGATCTTGATTGTTTGGGCCTACTCTTGCGGTTGCTGGTTGTTGGGCCCAAGAGCCAACAACCGCCCGCTTGGGCCATCGGTTACAACCGCAACCGAGGTCCACCTCAACTGATCACAAGAAAAGCCCGATTCATCAGTTACGGTTGCGGACAGGCACGGGCATTTTTGCGATTGCGGCTCTAAACGCCCAGCCCTACTTATACCAGTGAAAGCCTTTGAACTTGCAGAGATAAAGAAAAAGAAGTTGTCCAGTCACAATCTTCTGAGAATTAAGGACAGGGTCAAGGGCGGAGCCAGAATTTTTTTTCAAGGGGACGAGATAATTTTTAATATGTTAATTTACAAAATTTTTCAATTTCAGGGGGGTAAGATAATTTTTCATATATTAATTTACAAAGATTTTCAAATTTCAGGGGGCTAGCGCCCCCCCTCGCACCCTCCTCCCTCCACCACTGGGCAAGGTCCATGAGTATCGAGCAGGGGATAGATCTCACCCTGAGAGTGATAAAATCTATGCGTTGCTAAGATGTTTGAAGGAACAAATGAAAGAATTTGGTTATATTCCAGAGACAAGATTTGTGTTGCATGATATAGACCAAGAAGGAAAGGAAGAAGCTCTTCTTGGTCATAGTGAAAGGCTTGCTATTGTTCATGGTCTCATGACTACTGCAGCTTGCTCACCTATTCCAGTAATCAAGAATCTTCGTTTTTGTGTTGATTGCCATACTTCAATGAAGATCATTTCAAAGATTGTTGGCAGACAGCTCATAATGCGAGATGCTAAGAGGTTCCATCATTTCCAGGATGGTCTCTGCTCTAGCAAGGATTATTGGTGAGCAGAATGAAATTTGAGGTACCATTTATTAGAATATCTGAAATATTGTATAAGTGAAACTTTTTTATGTTCTACTATGTTTGTGAAACAGAGCTATTGTTCCTGATGAAATGATCATGCTTTTCAATATGTTTCAACTTTCAATGGTTGGCACTTCTGTTTGACAACATACTATAGATTACATGTTTGAAGTTTGAACTACGTGAACAGCAGTTCTATTTGTTTAAGTTAATGAGAACTGAGATAGTGTTAGGGAAATTTTTTTCTTGAAGTTAGTCAAAATTAGATAACACTTTGATTGAGAAACATAAAACATTATTTCATGTAGATGACTTTAATCCTTCAGAAGTGGTAGATCTAATATCCAATTTGTTCTTTGTGGCCTACAAGTTGTGACTCATCACCAGCAAAGCAACTATAAATGTGACTTTGAATTAAAAGTGGCTGCTAGAGCCTGAAAATGTAATTGTGATGGGATCCATCATTTTACTTTCTTCTGATTTTTGGTTGTTGCTTAATTTCCTATATTTAGGATTTTATGTACTGATGAAAACCTTCTTCATGCAAAAGTACAGGATGATGGAGAAGAGGCAGGTGTTCCTGAGAGCTACCAGCTGTGCAGAAAGAAGAGCATGGTGGAAAGGATGAAGGGATCGTTGGTGAGGGTGAAGAGGGTGATGTGGTTGATGCTCGGATCGGCCCTGGAAACTGAGGAGGTTGGTCCGATGCAGGCTGTCTGATTATATACAATAATCACATTGTAGCGGGTATAGTTTAGTGGTAAAAGTGTGATTCGTTCTATTACTCCCCTTGATAGTTAAGGGGTCCTTCGGTTTTATTCCTAATTCCGATCAAAACTTTATTTCTTTTAAAAGGATTAAATCCTTTATCTCTCAATGAAAAATTTGAGGAATAATATAATTCTTATCATTTGTATCCAAGGATCAATTATAGATTGAAAAATTGGATTATGGAATTTCGAAACATAAATAACTTTGAATTGGATGAATCCTTCCAAGTCAATAAGTATTAAATAAAGGATCTATGGAGAAAGAAAAATGTATTTTTAACCATAACTAAATCGTCACTCAATCTTCAAAAGCATAGGTTGAAACAAAACAGTTATTAAACGGTAACTTTAGTTTATCAGAGATATGAACATCTTTTTTATTTTAACTTTTAACTCGACGGAAATAAATGACTTTTCCTAAGGGTTCTCTCAAATAGAAATAGAAAACGAAATAGAGAGATTGTGCAAATCCCATCTTACGCTACTGGAGAAGAAGATTCATCAACTTTGTGAACAACTACCACGGCTACAATCACATCTTCTCCTATTTCTGGTAATTTTAGTGAATTTTGTTAAATTTAATTGTAAGATCCACACACACACAAAGGAAAAAAAAATCATTAATCATTTTTAAGACATTGTTAGTTTAGTTTAGTTTAGTAGTTTCATAGTTTAGTTTAGTAGTTTCATGCTCCCTTTGCAACGCGTAAGATTTGAGAATTTAGATTAAATTGACTCTTCTCAACAAATCATCATATATATACAAGTATTATTATTTCCTTAACATTTGGCAAACATTGTCTTTAGTCGTTTCTATTTATATTAATTAGTAGTAGTAAATGGTAGTGTGGAGGATAGGCAGGCTGCAGCTTGGAATGAGCTGGCACATGCTTAATTAAGCTAAGAAATTCAAACGGTAATTAAAATTGAAGATAAACTTTAAAAATTTTAATTAAAAATGCTGAACTACTCAATATGAACTGGCCAGCTTGTTTGGTTATATTGGTCATTGGATATTAAAAAATGGGAAACTGAAATGGAAGTAAAACACATCCCATCCCATGGCATGGCATGGGCTTTACAAAAAGTCATATGAATGAAAGGACACCCATCCAAAAAAGTTTAAATGAAAGATGTACAGAGACAAAGCAAAAGCAGAAATTTACTTTACAACTGGACTTGCAAAACGTGTTTTGCTTTGTTACCACTAGTAATAAGAGTTTGCACTGCCGTTTAGGATAGGGCGAACCTGTCCGTCCCCATATTAGTGCTTC